TCAGTTCTCTTCAATGTATTAGGCTCATTGAAGAGAACAACTTCCTGTCTGGTGCATTTCTGTTTACACAATCTATTGCAGAATGTGCCCAATGTACCACCATGCATAGATAAGTCAGTTGCATATTTAACCTGTACCATATTTGACTGACATCGCGCACCCTCCTAACATTTTTGGGCGTTTTTTTATTTTTGGAGTCAGCTTAGCATTCATCCTTTCTTGAATGCCCCAAATTTGATTGTCAAGCCATGAAACTTGTTTTTTTCAAATAATCAAATTACAGTATCTATTATGAATAACAATAATCATAAGTATGGTGTCAAAAGGACCTTTCTAAAATTGCTAATCATCAGTTTTTAAAAGAAATCATCTGTTCTTTCACCAAAATCAATACCAACAGATCATACTTCAATATCAATAATTCACTTTCGAAAATCATCAATGAAAGATGTCTTTGCCAATATTCTAGAATTCCACAAGAACAATTCATCATTCTGATTGGTTAAAAACAGACTTGCAGGAAAACATGGCAACAGCAATTGCTTTGCATTGAGAGTTTGCGTACAATCAAAAACATTCTACAAATTTTTACGTCAACAATTTTGATGATAAATAATATTGTAATAAATTTGCATACTTTTTGTAAACATTTGTGTTTGTGTATGCCCCCTACCTTGACAAATAGTGGTTGAAAATTGTTATTCGGATGATTGTTTTAGGGGGGTGCTCAACTAAGCGTAATAAACACAATTTGATGAGTATCTTGGGCACTAAGTCAGATGAGTATGCTAAGCCTTGGTAGAATTAAATGCAAAGCTATTAGAGATACTATAGTATCTAGGTTTGATTATGAAATATGGAATATTCCATGTAAACATCTGCATATGTAAACTTACCAGTATACTTGCATTTTCTATATACTTCCATGTTACTGGGTCATTCTTATTGTTCTTAATGGGAATCATACCAACAGCTACAATTGAAAAGACATGTAAATCACTCGCAGTGATTAGGTGGAAAGGTCAGGGATGTGAATTACTTTTTGCGAGACCTCATACATTGAAGTCCCATCAATAAATGTTTCACAGAACACTATATCTATATATACATTACATTCATGTTAGAGACACAATTTATGTAATGCATACATGTATATAGTTAAATTTGATCTGACTACAGATTTATTTGTTGTTCAATGTGAGCAGCATTTAATGCATGTCTTGCCCACATATATGTATGATGTAATTAGTGTCATCCTGAAAACCTGCATACAAGCCTTG